AAAATATATATGCAAATGAGTCCATTAGACATAAGTGAATTTCAACTATGTTCAGGGCTGGAATTCAATGATCCAGGTGTGATGATTAAAGTTAGTTTGAAAAAGCGGACATTTGGCCTTTTGTAAATTATTTCTCGGGTAATATAAAAAAGAAAATCACTCATTTTAAAAATATTTGATAACTTTATGCCTACCTCTGGAAAGAGGCTGTGTTTAAATCCCCAATTGCTTATCTTTACCAAGTTATTATATCTTGATTTTCTGCTTCCATGGCCCTGTTTGTTTTGGCTTTGGCCTTAGTAAAGATTATCATCATTAATATCAAATGAAAACACTTTAATTGCAAACACACCAAGGATTTCATTGGAAAGCCTAATATGTCAGCTATAGCAGTAGAGGTCACATGAAGTCTTTGGGAAATATTTGCTCTATTTAACGAAAAGACCTCTATAGGCAAAACTTATTCCAAACAATTTCTCAAGTTACCTAGCTAGGAGAGATAGAGAAGATTGGGTTTGCAAAGACTAAATAAAATCCATCAGCAAATAAAGTCCATGAATTGATAAAAAGCATTCTGCTGCTAAACAGTTTATAACACAGATCTTATTATAACTATATGTGCAGTCATAAAGTAAATTAGTGCACCTGGTCATTTATGATATTTGCTTTCAGTTGTGGCATGAATCTGTAGCACATATACATACCTATATTTTAGACACATCTTTATTATATTTTATATATAATGTGATGTGTATATACATAGTATGTGTCTATATATGTATGTATATATGTATGTGTCTATATGTGTATGTACACACACACATATACATATGTATACATATATACATACACATATAGACACACACTTGAAGGAAAAATCTATATTGATTCCCAGGAAGAAAAAATCATAGATACATAATAAGCATGGCTAATGGATATACTAACCACCAAGATATATTCATATTCATACATGTTCTGATTGGATAATTTGAAATACTTTACCGCTTACCTCTAATTCAATTACTGCCCTAATTTGGGGTTCACTAGCTAATCACTCTTGAGAAAGAATGTTTGGAAAACAATTGTTAAAGAGAACCAATTATTCTAGACCATAAATGTTCTTTCTCATTTTCCAAGGCTTTTCTTTCAGGGTGCAGGGGGATTGAGAGATCAGGCTGGAAGCCCCTGATAGGTTCTGGCTCCAAGCCCTGGCTCTACACTTAAAATACAAGAACATCTCTGTTCCAAAGAATCCTTTTCTCAAAAGAAATAACAGTTTGTCTCCCACAAGTAGTTGTAAGATTATGAGTCAATATGTAAAATACTAAGAATGAGTCATTCATATTGCTGATTTCAGTGTTATTAATACTTTCCCCAAATAGCGCCTGCAAGGCAGGAAACAGTAACTGAAGGAACTGTGGCTTTCGGTGGAAGAGAAGCCTCCTGATGGTCAATTTAGATTTACTAATGAAAAATAAAGAGGGCCGACGTTTAGTATTTATTTGGTGCTCTGCTTTGGCTAAGCAAGCCCTTGATTGTGTGTCACCTCAGTGAAATCTTCACACCCGCAGTTAGGCACTATTATTGTTGTCACGATTATTTTATAAATGAGAAAACGAGAAGAAAGGGGCTGGGATAGCCCAAGGCTACACGGTAGCAGCCTGGATTGAATCTAGGTAGTCAGTGCCCACAGAGACTCAGCCGTTTGCATCCAGGAACACTCCCACCTGCTTTTCCCAAACCTCTGGGAGAGATTATATATCGGTGTCAGTTTCCTCTATGAACCTTCCTGCACTTTACACGTATTCTAGGAGAAACTAAAATTATCCAGGTGCTCAGAAGACAGAGTAACCATGACTTGGAGAGGCCCTTGGAGCCAGAAAAGGGGCAAGATACCGCTCCATGCCTGCAGGGGGCGCTGTCTGTGGCGGTATCTGGAACTTCTGTGGTGTGCAACAGGAATGTCCAGACTGTAGTTAGGAAGGTTGGGTTGGGAAATATTGAATAGGATTTGATTTTCGCATTTGTAAATTTAGGCTAGCTGTAGGGAAAAAGAGGGAAGAAGTTAACGGTGGAGATGGGTGTTGGAGGGAGGTGGCATTTACAGAATGCAAGAAGTAGCAATTCCAAAGAAACGGCTTGGCCCTCTCCTCGGCTTCACTTCCCACTGTGATTCTTGGTGGTCGTTTCTTCCTGAAGTTACAGGATAAACAAACCTGGCACACGTTGTAAAATCCCCGCAGTGAGGAGCTCCTGGGGCTTCAAGACTCTCTGGGGCTTTGCTATTTGGTCCAGCTAAGAGGTTTCATGTGTGTTGTTGTTGTCTTTTGCCCTCAACCATTTAACCCTTCCCTCTCTTGGAGCAACCTGTGCTTCAGAGAGGCCTCCCCCACCTCAAGAGACAGATTGTTCCCTTCTTTTATCTTTCTATTTGCAAAACAAACTCGAGCCACACGGGGTCTCGAGGATATATTCCAGTCTTCTAACCACCAGTCTGGTTCAAGAAAACTAGGGAGGCTGGGAGGCCCGTGCCAATCGTGGGTACCCCGGATGCACTTTTCTCCATGAAGGGCGGGGCCTGGAAAGTCAAGGAGGGACAGTAATTTGGACTAAATTAGCTAACGATCTTTTGAGGCAAATCAGAGTTTTTTGTGTGGCTATTTCTTGCAACAGTGAGATTTTACTGGATTGAAAATTCAGCAATTAACTTTGGGTAAGTTAATCTCCCCCAGATCTCCACATATAGGACAGTTAAAACATGGGGGGGAAATGCTGATAAAAGGAAAAAGGGCCGATTCCTTCTGGATATTCTTCACTTTTAACCACAAGTGTTGGTCTATATGAGATAGAAAGGTGAACAGTTTAATTCAGACATAGGAAAACAATCTATTTTCCTTCCTTTAAATCAGCTTTTAAGAAAACATCCAAATAAATGGGGTGGTGTGGCGTCTAAATTAAAATAGGGCTTCTCTTTATTTATGTGCACATAGTCCCAAACATACTTTTCAGTTCAATCAAATTAGGACCAACTTTGTTCAGAAAGAAACTCATTTTTTAATATTACGATATCAGGATCCTCGCACATTTTTATATGCAGTCCGTCACTCCACATTTAAAATATTACTTCTTGGGTTTACATAAAAAATGAAAGTACTAAGATTATTTACAAAAATACATTCAGTACCACTAACATTTGGATGCAACGTTCCCACTTTGCTTCGGACAGGAATGAACTTCTTTTGAACATGGCACAAAAGGATCGCCGTAATAAAAGTAATATGTTGCACAACTAACCAAACAAAAGCAAAGTAAGGCTGCTAGACCTAAGCCACTCGCGGTTCCAAAAGTAAAAGCCCAAAGCCGGAGGCTTTTTCATGTGAGCGTGCACGACAGTTTCTGAGAAGTTTCTCTGTGAACATGTCTCCTTCCCTTTCATAAACTCGTGGGTCTGAGTTCCTAAATATTAATGTAATGTGACCCCGTCTAAAGGATCAGGCGAAGGAGGGAGGGTGGGATCTTGCCGCTGCGTGGAGAGCATCCCAAACTCCGGCTCCCAGTTACTTCTCCACCACCTCTTCCACGCAGGGGAGTTTGCGTTCCTCTGAGGAAATGCTGTCCACGATGGAAGAAAGGCATCGAAGGCTACTCGAGGCTGACGAGTCCATGCTTGCCCCTCCTGAGCGCAGAAAAAGAGAAACACAAGCATAGCACCCAAGGAGTGAAAGACGAGGCAGCCCCGGGCGCGGCGCGAGGCCGCGCGGGCAGTGCGGGAGGACCCGGTGGCCGCCCGCTAGGAGCTCGCCCCTTGCAGGGTGCGTCCCCGCCCCGCCGAGGCTCAGAGCCCTTTCTACCCTTTCACCCCAGCCCCCCTCCCGGCGTGTTCTCCGGCACAGCCCAGCGCCCTTCTTTTACTTTACCTTCCTTGGCAGTTATCACGAGCCCCCTGGAATGATCCGAAACACTTGGCCACTGGGAGCTGCAGGTGCGCAGGAAATCCGCACCCTCCAGCTGGAGAAAAACCAAGGCCGCAGAAGATTAGGAAAGAAACGTCGGTTCCGGGGAGGGAGTGGGGGAGCGTGGTGGGGGTGTCTCCCCTGCTTCCTCGGGCCGGGTACGAATTTCCTGCCTGTGGCAGGCACCCCGAGTGGACGGGTCACTGGGGGTTCATTCGAGAGGGAGCGGGAGGGGCGGGCGAGGAACGGGAACTGGAACGGAGACCCAGCAGCTGGAGGTTAAGGCCCCAAGGAAAGCGTCTAATCAGCCTTTGCGTTCCCCTGCCCCGGCAGCAGCTGGGCTTACATTCTCTTGCTTGGGTCTGTAGCTGAAGGGGTCCACCCCTAGCTCCTGCATTTTCTCCTGCTGATCCAGCTGATGGAGCAGATCCTGCAGCCGCTCTATGTAGCTGATGGCGCTCCGAAGAATCTCCACCTTGGGCAGCCTCTGGTTGGGGTTGGCCACAGTCCGCCGCTTCAGTGCCTCGAAGGCCTCGTTGATTTTCTTTAGCCGCCTCCTCTCGCGCAGGGTGGCAGCTTTCCGCCGGTCAGTGGGGGCAGATTTTCTTTTGCACGTCTTGCAAGCCCAGATCAGACATTGGCCGGGGCAGTGGGGAGGCTGCAGGCCTGGGGGCGCCAGGACATGTTCCTCTCCGCTGCTGTCGCTCCCAGCTTCCGGGGGCATTTGGTCCTGGCAGGGGGACAAAGTACCATCACTCCCTGGGTACAAAGGAGAGCCCTCTGCCACTTCTAATGGCTGCAAGGTAACATTTTCCCCGTCCAAGTAGAAGAAATAGGAGCCAGTTTCAAAAAGGTCCATCATCATGTTCTCCTCCTTGGCCTCTGACTCGGTCTGAACTGGGTGATGGGCTCAAAAACCCAGAGGAACCACCCAGATGGCATTTAATTAGTGCGGTGACATAAGTCGCCCCAGCTTTATATATAGTAGCTCCTGAAACTCAATCCAACTTTTAGCTGTCAGGGAGCATCAGTCTACCAATGTGATTCCAGCCAGCGCTCTCTAGAATATCTAGTTTGAAAGAAAACTGAGAAGTGTCACCTCCAGGACGATGTGACAATCTGTATGCAGAACAGGTGAAAACAAAATACTAGGAGAGAATCCTACAATTTAAATAAAGCATTGAATGGTTCCCTTTAAGATAGTTTAGATGCTAACCTGTTTACAGGACAACTTCAAAACAACTGGGGATTAACACTGCTCCATTCCCCTCCCCCAGGCTCATCTGAATTCTAAGTATAGACCCATGATGAAAGATTTCAAAGGCAATAGCCATTGCTCCAAAATAGCCTGGTTAGTATTTGCAGAGTGGTTCAGCTCTTTTCTCTGTCCTGCCTGTCAAAAAGATGCCATTCCTGTGATTAAAACTATTACAGTCCTTCAAAGGTTATACATGACTTTCAGGCTTCAGCCTCAATAGCAGCAGGTAAATCTCTTTCCTCTCTTTTACTAAGGCTGTAAGATGATTTGGGAGCTGGAGGGGTGGCTGGAGGGTGCTCAGATTCCTTCCTTGGCTATCTTTTTTTGGGGAATTCTGAATTCTGTACCCCTCCATGGTGGAGTAGCGGTACCCATGAGGTAAGGGGTGGGGCATAGGGGTGGGGTTGCAATACATATAATCACTTCTCTTTGAAACAGTTTTAGTGGAAACAAGACTCACACTATAGCTACTTTGTATTTCAGAATTCTATGTGGCCCCCTCCACTCCAAGGTGCCTCCTTATGGCTCCTGTTCTGCACACTGTGCTCATAGCTTGTTAGTTTACATTCTTGATATACATTGACTCCAAATAGGATTGGGATGAGAGAGCACCGAATCCTAATCACTAGACCACGAGGGAGCGTCAGGATTCAGATGAGAAAGGTAGTGACCAAGGTGCAAGCAAGGAAGTAAAACATTTTAATTGCAGCTTGCCATGGTCCAATGCACACAAGTATGGTGGCTGAGAAAGCAGTACAATATAAGGATGATATACATGGGTTCTGGATTGGAAAGAAAGCCCTTCAAGTCCTAGCTAAGTTAATTTCTGTTTATGTGTACATAGACAAGTACTAGCTCTTGGTTTCCTCAAGATAGCAGTGGTTGTCTTACAGATTTTTGTTGAGGACTGACTCAAATGATATGCATGTGAAGCACATAGCCTTCTATTAGTTGCTTGATGAGCCTTAGCATTTAAAGCATAAGGCTGTGTACAGGGCTAAGACCATTTTTTATGAAGGCAATAAAGCAGAGCTATTGCAGAGGGTTTTTCCCCCCTCTGTTATTATTGCATTCTTTTCTTTTTCTTTCTCTTTCCTTTCCTTTTTCCCTCCCAGAGCTCTGGTAGGACACCCTTCACCTATAAATGGCCTTTGGGATGACAGTCGACCTTGGTTTTGGCCTTTCTAGTCAGTGCCTGAAAAAGTAGATGGAAACATAAGGTCTTCTTATTTTACCCCCAAGCAGGGATAATTATAGGCTATGTTCACTATGACTTCATTCTGTAAATGAAAAGAGTGAAGACAGTACAAGTGATCAATGGTCAGACAATGTAGGAACAAGCTACATTTTTAGTCAAGTCGCTTATTCCAGAAGATAATTCTTCATAGTCTCTTCCTGTTGAGTAATAGGCTTGGGGTGTTCCGTTCTGACACTTTTGACTGTTTTTATGTTTTGTTATTATGCAGCTGAATAATTTCCTATCAAGTTTTAGAACCATTTTTAGGATTTTGGAAAGGTAAGAAACCCAGGGAAGAATAAGAAGAAGCCATTATTTTTGTGTGTGACATTTTCTCCTATTTCTAGCAGGGCTGGTTGCTAACATCAGCAGTTAAGATAGCAGATTGGAGGCTCTAACAGGTCAGGGTATAGTCTAACATCCATTATGGAAAATTATCCTCTACTCTTAACCACACTGTATGATGCATCTAATGTGAAGACAATTTGAAAAGTCATATTTAACCAGTAAAAGTATTTAACATTATTGCTAAGATTATTAAGATAACAATAACTAAAATTTATTTATTCAACATTTTTGGGGTACCTACTAACTGCCAGATAGTGTCCTGGGGTAAGCATAAAACAGTAAAAAATGATTCCTTTTCTCATGGAGTTTGAATCTAGAAGGGTGAGTGAAATTGACCAAGATAAAAAATGTGAGAAATAGCCCCCAAATTGGGGTGCACAAGCCTTATGTTATAGTCATTTTAGCTTGGGAATTCTTAGTCAACTCCTACAGCTCAAATTCTCAGTTTTTTTATCCATAAAATTGATAGAGTGACAAAAGACATCATACTCTCAAAGGTAGTGATGAAGTTTTTAAAATTGTGCAATCCCTTAAAAATGTCACATATTCTATAAAAGTACTTTCATTAATGGAATTAGATATAGGCAAAAAATGAGATAAGAACAATAGCAAATGTAAGGAATTTTGTTGCCTGGATAACGGAAGTGACGTTAAGGTGGCACCATTCACTATTAGTCACTATTGATTTTAATCGGTATCAGATAGATGTGGGGGAGTCTGCACATCATGAATCTACCAAAGAATGTGAAAGGTCGCACTTTCCTTTTTATTTTTCCCTCATTCAAGGGTTGTCCCTGGAGAAACAGTGAGTTAAAAATGTAGAGAGAGAAGATTCTAGAAAGTAGAAAAGACTTTGAGGTGCTGATCAATAGCCTCCCAGACAGGGGGTGGCATGTCTTTGTGTGAATGCAAACTTTACTACTGAATTGTTCCTTATTAAATTATAAAGCCCCTTTCCCAACATTCTCTAGGACTCCGGCCAATAAAATTTAGTGTCTTTGTTCACCTTAGTTGAAACAGCCTTTTCCTTCTTTTGTTGTTGTTTTGGGGGCTGGGGGGTGGAGGTGCGAGGAGAGAAAAAGGAAATGCCAGCTTGGGAAATAACCACCCGTTATTAGATTAGGTAATGGGAAAATATGCAATGCTTCCAAACAACTAACTGGTGAACTCTTGGAACTCAAACTGTTTACAGAATATGAGATGCTTGTAATTGCAATTGCATTATTTCCCAGCAGAACTTGGGAGACACAGACCTTGACGAGTGGTCTAAACAGGTTTGTGTAAACCGAAATCCTCCAAACTTAAAATCGTGCAAGTACGTTTTTAAAAATTATGGACAAATTAATAGCAATGAGAGAATAATCATATTAAAGATCAGTTATTTATCGGGGGCCTAGAGTTCATTCATAATAAAATCTGAAACGAGGCTGGTGATAGAATGGAAAGTTTTCAGTTTACTAGCTCATTATTCTTACTTCATGCTGAATTATTTGTAAACGCATTTTCATCTCCACAAATCTTGACTGTATCCAGTTCTTCTCTGTGAAAAGAAGTGGGAGGGAAAGGATTGTGGGTACTCAGTCAATAGTGGATTTTAGCTATGAGTCTTTGGGAAGGTGGTGTAAACAATGGAAAAACAACTTTGGAGTGAGCCAGGATCTTAATTCTAGCCATTCTTTTTTTTTTTTTTTTTTAATGTTTATTTATTTTGGGAGAGCGGGAGCGAAGGGGGAGCAGAGAGAAAGGGAGAAAGAGAGAGACAATCCCAAACAAGCTCTATGCTGATGGTGCCCAGCCATGTGTAGGTCTCAAACTCAGGAACCATGAGATCATGACCTGAGCCAAAATCAAGAGTTGGATACTTAACTGACTGAACCACCCAGGCACCCCTAGCCATTCTTAATTATATTTTCTGATTCTCGGTTCTGTGAGAGATCAACCAGCATATATAACACACCCATCACAGGCTTGTCAGCCTAAAATGAATAATACGTGTTGAGTCCAAGATATGGAATATACACTAAATAAACGTTAATTTCCCCCCATTCCCTAGCCAGTTCATAAAGCCTCTGACGGAAATAGCCAGAGTGAGTTAACTGAAACACCTAGATTTGGTGAGGCAGATATTTAAGACGAATTTAGGGATTTGTTTGTGTTAGTGGTATAATGGAAGTGAAACTATTGAACCTTGTACCTCCAGTAGCAGTGTTTTATGTATTCATGCTTCAACAAATCTCCAGTTTCCTGGGGGACAGATACTAATTAAAAGATCACGTAAGTGTGTCCCGGGAGCTAGGAACTTTAGAGGAAAGGACTGAGGTTTAAGCTAGTGCACAACAATGAAGAGTCTGTCATGAACTGGAAGCTCGAGAAAGGATGGTTTAGGGATGGAGTCCCTGAGATGTGGGGTCGCTATTTCTAGGGAGCCTGTCGAAGATTTTTAGCAACACTGTGGGTTGGGATGGTGGCGATAGTAGGAGGAAGTTTAAGGAAGTAACAGCCACAGATGAGGGTTTGTTCAGAAACTGAAGAGATTTTCGTGGGTCGCATCTAAGGAATTTGGCTATGTTGTGGCATAGTTGGGTTCGAAGAAAGCTGTTTCAGTCATAGCTGAGAGAGTAGGACTGAGAGCCAGATGGAAAATGGTTATACCTTCTCAGCAGTGAAAAGAGAAGAGAGAGAAAGGAATAGAAGACAGGAGGGGGCCGGGGAAGGAGCGAAACAGAAGGAGCAAAAGTCAGGTCCAGCCTGCCCGCAGAAGAGGCGACTAGCATGGCCCGTGAGTGGCCTAAAAAGTAGAAGAAGGTGAAGGAAAGGCCCGCTGACTGAAAGGGAAAATTCAGAAGAGGCAGATTAATGCTTTAAACTGGTGGCAGCTAAGTAAGTAACATGAACCCCTGCACCTGTAATTTACCTAATCTGCAAGCAGTTTGTGCCCAGAGATGCCCCAACACTGTGGTAAAAATAGTTTTGCACTTAGACTCGACAGAACATTCGAGTCACTTCAGAGAACGCGGGGGAGGGCCGTGAACCACGCAGAGGAACAGGAAAGACTGTCAGATCCTGCGCAGTCCCCAGAGGGCGGCAGCGACAGGTTCTGCCGAGAAAGGGGCGGGGCCTGTGCTCGGGAGGACTGTGGGTTCGAGGCCTGCTGTGGGGCTGCAGTTTTGTTTTTTTTAATTTTTTTTTTCAACGTTTATTTATTTTTGGGACAGAGAGAGACAGAGCATGAACGGGGGAGGGGCAGAGAGAGAGGGGGACACAGAATCGGAAACAGGCTCCAGGCTCTGAGCCATCAGCCCAGAGCCTGACGCAGGGCTCGAACTCACGGACCGCGAGATCGTGACCTGGCTGAAGTCAGACACTTAACCGACTGCGCCACCCAGGCGCCCCGGGGCTGCAGTTTTAAAACAGCTAAGAAAGGGGTCTAAGACAAGCCAGGGAGGAACCAGAGAGGCTGCTATTCAGATCCGTTAAAAGATACATTTTCTCCTCCTTGCTCTCACCCCGGATTCCCTTCCATTTGGGAGTAGAACACAACTTCCACAAAACTTGTGCCCAGTTCGTGCACTCGCCGAAAATGGTGCCGAAGGAGGCTGCTGCTCATTTATTTTCTAGGCCGTGGCTTCCAGAAAAAGAGA